TAAAAATTAATTAAAGCTAAGCTTTTTGCAGCAAAAAAAGGAGCAGCCCCGTGCCCTGCACATCCAAACCTCCACCCCCCGATTGCAGGTGTTTCTTTGGGTATTTATCTCTGATTATCTAAATAATCGATTTAGGCGGGTATTTCTCGATTTTCAACTATTAACTTCTGATCTTAGAAGATGAGTTTGGGCCTCCTGCACACACACACATCCTCTGAACACAGCTATGTGATCATTTTTTTGTTAATCAAACTTGAGGATGCCTGGGTGGCTCAGTTGGTTAAGCGTCTGCCTTCGGCTCGGGTCATGATCTCGGGGTCCTGGGATCGAGCCCCAAATCGGGCTCCCTGCTCGGCGGGGAGTCTGCTTCTCCCTCTCCCTCTGTGCTCTCTCTTTCTCAAGTAAATAAATAAAATCTTAAAAAAAAAACTTGAGTGCTTACATTATTATGACTACATAAAATACTGTTCAACACTAAACCACATAGTGGTCTCTTTTTATAGAACAGAACACTAAACCGCTCTAATTTCTTTCTTTTCTTGTTCAACTTTTTGTTATTTCTATAGTTGATAGTTGCCTCACTCAAAATTTGCTTCATTTTCCATGTACAAATATAATTCCTTTGTTTTCTATGTACTAATATGTAATTCTTCCCTCAACTCTCTAACAGAATTATAAAACTCTTCCTAATATGGTAAATATGTCAGATAATCCATCAGCTTCATTTTTTATATTCCTCCTGGAGTCCTCAGCCATACTGCTCCAAATTCGCCTGGTTCATCTCTAGATGAGCTGTTAGAGAGCTATACTGTTGGAACTTTGCTTCACCATTATTATGGGGATTCTCCTCATCATTCTCTCTACCAGTCAAGGTTCTTGGTTGCAAGTAAAGAAGCCAACTCCCACTGATTAAGCAGAAAATTTGCTGACAGATTATTTGGCTTATTTGCTGCACTGTGAGGAGTTTTACAGTTCTGTTGGAGAGTTTGAGGAAGAATTAGTAGTTAGTATATTGCAAACATAGCAAATAAGAGATGAGGCGCTTATCAACTCCAGGAAAAACAAAAAGTTGAACAAAAAAGAAGAAATAGAACCTAGTACACTAGATTCCATGATGCATGTCTGATGGCAAAACTGCCCCTATTTGCCACTGAATACTGAATGCCAGTTTGTACTTCTGTCATTTCCGTGCCAACAAGTTGAACTTGTAGCCCATCGTTGCCGCCACCGCCATAACAACGGATACAGCACATGCTTCATCCCTCTCCTCTGTCAAAATACAGCATAGGTACATCTCCATCTGTGGAGTCGAGGTCACAGGTCCTGGCTACAGGGAAAGCTTGGAAGTCAGTCCTTTTCAGTTCCCATGATGGGGTAGGTGTTTGTTTTTTCTCCGCATCTGCAAAGTGCGGTAACAAAGTAAGGTAACAGCTGAAATACTGAAAGCCATTTGGAAATGGAGCCAAATGAGAACAAGAGACAATTATATATTGTGTCACTTGTTCCTCTTTCTTAGTTTACTGTCATTTTCATAGAGTACAATCTCCACTAGTTTCCTTGAATAGCGATACAAAGGTGCTCACACACAGAGCTTTGGAAAATTCACATCTACAAAGGTGCCTTAATTCTATTATTTTGCTTGGATGACAATTACAGAATTCTTGCTCAGGAATTAATTTCCTTTGGAAATTTGAATGAGCTGTTCCATTGTCTTGTAGCTTCTGGTGTTGCTTTTGTAAAGTCCAGTGCCATTCTTTTATCTGACCTTCTAGATGTGGCCCCTTTTCTCTTTGTTGACTTTTGGCAATTCCTGTCTCTGGAGTTTTGAAAGTTCATGATGATGTCCTGTAGTACATACTTTACTTTTATGTAGTATGTCTTTTATTATTCATTGTTGGGTACTACTCAGAGACTCTTCATGTTGAAGTTCCTTCAGTTCTAGAATTTTTTTCCTGTAGTTTGATAACTTCCCCGTCTTCATTTTTCTCTTTGTCTTGGGTTCCTCTGAGGTGGATATCAGGAGTCTTGAACTGATTCTCCAGTTTTCTTATATTTTCTTTCCTATTTTCCTTCTCTCAAGTCTTTCTGTTCTACTTTCTAGAAATTTAGTTTTCAATCTCCAGCTCTATTCTATTGAAATTTTTGCTTCTATTATTAGTTTTTTTTTTAAGATTTTATTTTTAAGTAATCTCTACACCCAACATGGGGCTTGAACTCACAACCCTGAGATCAAGAGTCGCACGCTCTTTGAACGGAGCCAGCCAGGCACCTCTTCTATCAGAGTTTTTACATCCACGAGCTTATTATTGTTTCCTAAGTATTCCTGTTTTTAAACAACCACGTTTATCACTTCTGGCTCCCTTTTTTCTGTTTGTTTGGGTCTCTATCTTTCACGCTAGAGGTTTCATTCTATGTGGGATGATCCATAGCTGTGTATTCAAACTTAAGAGAGAGGCACTCAAAGCTGTTTGTACACAGGTAAGGTCAGTTGCTTGGCAGCTTTCCAAGAGGGTCCCTTCAATGTTAGTATTTGAGGGTCATTTTTTCTTGTGAGCTCAATTTCCTCAGAGAGAAGTTCTTCAAGGCCCTGACTGGAGAGTGGTATAGAGGAGGTTGCCATGTTCTGGGAGCCAACCAGGAAAGGGTCTCACTGTTCAGTATATAAACTTTCACTGAATCTTTCTGTTCTCAATACAGTGCCTCTTGCCCTCAGCTGCTCCCCACAAAGCCTCCTCCACCCCAGGCTGGGCCTGAGCTACTCTGGTTCAGCAATGCCTCTGGGAAAACAGGCATCTTCTGCTGGGAAGGAGGAGGGAGCCACCTAACTATGTGGGCTGAGAGAGGGGTCTGTTGCTCCAACACATACCTTTAATCAATCTTCCTGCTTCCAGCCCACCCTGCAGCCTGTCATTAGGAACACTGTAGCTCCCACTCCTGGACTTTTGGTGGGTCCTTGAACACACCAGCCTTCTTCCACCACGGCACGGGACATTCAAGATTCTAAGCTTTGCATCTCTTTTGCCGACCTGCCTTCTGTCTCTCCGTGGGTTTGCTCACTCCACCTCCTCCTCCTCAATCATTTCCTTTTCTGTTTCCTTAAGGATTTAGTCCTATTTTAGTCCTTTATTCTCATTTTAGTGGGCTTTTGAAGCAGAGCCAGGAGAAACATATGCATTCAATTAGTTACGTTATTAGTTTTCACGGAAGTTCATAATAATATTTAACAATACATAAAAATCAGGTTTCCAAAGATAGGCACATAGAAGGCTTTCTGGAGGATTTGGGGGTTGGACACTCCATCAAGGAAACAGTGGTCCTCTGGGGGTGTAGGGGAGGGTAGGTTATGCTAATTTTGGGGGCAAACTTTCAACAGTAAATCGGTATTTTTTAATAAATAAAAAAGCATGAGGGTTAAAAATTATTAAAAGGCATCTGCTGAAACAAGAATCAAGATACTGTTGGGGCTTCTGGGTGGCTCAGTTGGTTGAGCATAGGACTCTTGGTTTTGGCTTAGGTCATGATCTTGGGGTTATGGATTGAGCCCTGCCATCAGGCTCGGTGCTCAGCGTGGAGTCTGCTTGGGATTCTCTCTCTCCCTCTCCCTCTGTCCCTCCCACTGCATGCACACACTCTCTCTCTCAAATAAATAATAAATCCTAAAAAAAAGAGAGAGAATCAAGATATTGTAAATAGGTATACAGGTGTATAGAAGAAACTCTAATCCCCCAACAGAGGTCTACACAACCCATGGTTTTTTACTATGTTCCAGGAGGTCCTGGGGTTCCATAGAAGCACCCCAAGGTCTTCAGAGGGTGGCAGAAGTGGGACGGGGTGCTAAGTGGAAGTCCTAGGCCAGTCTCTGCCTGGACCACAGGGCACTCTGTTTTTATCTACTCTACAGGTCAAAATTCTGTTTTTAATATCTTTTATTTTATTTTAAGATTTTATTAATTTATTTTGACAGAGAGAGACACAGCAAGAGAGGGAACACAAGCAGGGGGAGTGGGAGAGGGAGAAGCAGGCTTCCCGCCGAGCAGGGAGCCCAATGTGGGGCTCGATCCCAGGACCCTGGGATCATGACCTGAGCCGAAGGCAGACACTTAACAACTGAGCCACTCAGGCGCCCCCAATATTTTGATCTTTTTAAAGAGAGCTGCACTAACAAAGACGTTTGGAAAGTACTGATGAAGATCTAGAGAAAATGAGGTTGGGGTGGGGCCCGGGGGAAGCTTCCAAGGATGACACCATGCTGTAACCCTGTGCTTTTTTCCATCAGAAATGACAGGAGCTGCTCAAGCATCCAGGTAAGAAGGAATGTACTTTGCAGCCAGAGCATACCTATGTACCCATAGGGCTTGCAAATGGGACTGTGGCCTACCAGTCTGGGAGCTTGCTAACCATACCCAGCTAGCCCCAGACACCAAAGCCAATGCTCAGCCAATGTCAGTCTCTGGCCTCAGTTTCTTCATTTGCACAATGAAAGGACTGCATTCATATCCCAGCGAACATCTAAGAAGTTCCAAGGAGCACTGTCTTACTGATATAGGATTGCCAACTCTCTGGAGAAACAGAACGTCCCTACCTAAGGACTCTTTGAGAAGCAATGCTGAGTTATAAGAATTCAATCCATTCCCTTCGGAAGAATGTTTTCATTTTTCTCTCCCCAGATGGGCCAGCCCAACTCTACCATGACTGAAGCAAGTCAAATAGCTTATTAATGAGCTCCAGGGTTTCTGGGAGCAGGGCCCCCCTTCCTTTCAAAGGGAGCAGCACCCCTCTCCTGGGGAGCTGGCCAAGGTCTAGTTCACTTCCCCTTGTTGGCTCATAGAACACATTTGGGTCATTCTCTTCCTTTGCGTGATCTAGTCCTAGATGGGAAGTTAAGAGAGCTTCTCCTTTGGCTGGATGGTCAGGGAGGGCGGAGTCTGTTCAAATTCTTAAGCTGTCTACAAAATCACATCTCTTCTTCCCCACACATTTGTCTCCTTCACCCAACCTACCTCTCTGGAATGGTCCAAGAAAGACCAGCAGCAAATGCCCCTCTGGCTGGCAGATCAAAGATGCTTTGGAATCAGTGAGCACCATTCCGCCCCTGCCTGACTCTGAGCTCCTTATCTGTCTGGGGGGGGGAAAAAAAGAATGAATGAATGAATGAAATTTTTAAAAGAGAAAGTCTCACAAACTTTCTATGCGTTCCCTCGCAAGACTTTAGCTCAAAAGCTACTCTTGCACCTAGGCTCCCATTTTGCAAACCAATCACATTCTGCTTGATGGGCTCTTCTTACCACCCACATCAATGCCACCACACGCACACGCACGCACGCACACACACGCACACGCACTCACACACACACGCACTCAGATACAGATAACTCAGATCATTCTTAAGTATCCATTGCTTTTGTTTGGTTTTTGAAGGCAAAGTGAATGATCTGTGCCAAGCCTGGGTTCAAGTTCCATTCAATGGCTGGTCCCATTGAATAGGGAGGTCCCTACTCAAGTACTAAATTGCATCATACAGGAAGACTCATCCCTGCTTGCTGGAGGTGAAAAGCCTAGGTGTGTGGGGAGAGGGCCGCCCACTCACTGCATCCGTGGTGTTTCTTTTCCCCCCCTGCCGGCCATTCCTGGAAATAATCTGACCCCAGAGACAGGAAGACACCTGAGCTCCGGAAGCCCGGAAGCCCAGCCGGCTGGATGCTCAGAGTAGGACCCAACCCCTTTCTCCAACCCGCGGCTCAGGGCACAGCTACCTCCACAGTGGGAACCCACTGGGCAAGGCTAGGGCGGGCTCTTGAGGATCAGGACCCCTAAACCATTTGCTTCTCCATAAGCAAAAAGCCCAGTGCCGGGAAGCAGTTGGAAAAGGTGTCCATTCCAAGAATACATTTCCCAGGGTCCAGGCTGGAATTCTCACTGCTGAGAGACTAATCCCTGGAAGGATATCCCATGGACCCTGCTGCAGGAGCCCGGGAATGGGGACTTGGATGGTCTCTCCACTCAGCATCCAGGCGAGGATAGCAAGGGCTTCCCAAGAGAAATGAGAGGTCAGCGCCAGGAGCTAAGGAAGAAAGAACTTCCATTGCTGACCAATGGAGTTTAACAAGGGAACAAAACCCACCCGTTCAGTCACAGGGAAATGAGACATGGTTATAAAGAAAACACTTTCAAAATGAGGAAAGACAAAGCAGAAAGCATGATGGAGCCTAGGGAAGGAAGAGTTAGGGAAAGCAAGAAGGAATTAGTGCTCAGGAATTCAGGTCAGGAAACAGGGAGCTGGGGCAGAATTCACAAGAGGGCGGCTAAGGAGGAGGCTCTTCCCGGAGGAAGGTGCGTCTTCTGCTCTGGCCCTCAGTCTGCCCAAGACCTCAGGATCTGGGTCGGCCGCCCTCTAGCCCTCTGGGTTCAAGGGCAAAGCTTGGGAGGCAACGCCAGGAATGGACACAGCGCAGGATGCTCCGTCCCGAATCGGGGACAGGGGGAGGGGAAGATGCGCACGGCAACTGCTGGGTCCCTGACAAGTAAACAGCTTGCCCTGAACAGGCGCGTCCACGTCCGGAGCCCGGCTGAGGGCCCTGCTCATCCCATCAAGGGCGGCCGCGGGACACCCCGATCCCCGCCGCCCCCCCTGGAGGCACAAAAGGGACGCATGGAGATCTGGAGAGCCGGAGAGCATGAACCAGCCCACACCCGAGAATCACAACGCGAGCTCGGCCCCCTGCCTCGGCCTCCCCAGCCGGGTCCGGTCCGCCCCGGGACGCGCGCGCCTCCCCCAGCCCCCACGCCCCTGGACCCCGATCTCCCCAGGCGGACAAAGCCCCGCGCTGGGCGGGGCGGGGTGTGCGCAGGGGTGCACTGGGACCCCGCAGACGCCCGCACAGGTGGGCTCCGTACCGGGTGTCGGTGCCGGGGGCGGGGCCCGATCTCCCTGGAGACGGTTGCCCAGGGGACGCGGCGGGCGGGTCCCGGAGCTACGCGAGCCTCCCGGCGGCGGCGCCGAGCCCGCGGGGGCCTGAGGGCAGGCCCGCGGCGCGGAGCCGGCGAGCCGGGCAGCGGCGGAGGGGCGCGGCCCGGGGCGGGGCCCGGACAGCAGGCCGGCGCGGGCGGGGCCGGGGGCGGGGCGACGGTGGGGGCGGGGCCAGGGCCCGCCGCGCCGCGGGCACCGTCGGCAAATTCTCGCAGCCCCAGCCAGGCGGAGTGTCGGAGAGCCGGCGACCGCGGGGAGCGCAGCGGACGCCGCTGCAAATCCTCCCCGACCCCTGCTGCTCCCGCCCGGCCCGCAGGTGGCGTGTGCGCTTGGAGCCGGGAGCGCCCCAGCCGTCGCGGGACCCCGGGCGGCGTGCGCACGCTGGCCCTGGCCCCCCTCCCGCCTCGTAGCCGGAGAACTGAAAGTGCCATTTGCAAAGGGAACGGGGCCCGGTGGTCCCCCAAACCGCTCTCCCCTCCCGGGTTCCCAGGGAGTCACCAGAACCGACGGGGCACTGGACCACCGTCAATGATCCGGAGCCGGGGTCACCCACATAACTGGCCATCCCGGGCTCTGGGCTCCCATCCGGTGTGCGGGCTGTTCCCCAGCCGCTGGGCCTTCCTTTCCATCGGGGTTCCCCTTAACAGGTCGGATTCGGAAGGTAAACGAGTTTGCCAGGGACCTTCGCTGGTGCATCCATTCGTTACAATGAACCACGTTCGCGCTGGCGGGGCGTTGGTGCATTAACGCAGTAACCCCCCGTCCTGCACCTCACACAGCGCTCCAGTGAACCCACGCATCCCCCTGCGAAGTGGGTGCTGTTTTCCCTCGGGTTGTAAATGAGAAACCCGAAGCTCCGAGGGCAAGCAGTTGACACATGCACACAGGTCCGCACGCAGCGGCAGGGCTAGCTTCCGAACCACCTTGGTTTGGTACCGGACTGCAATGCTTCTTGCCCCACAGTGTCCCGTGTCCGGCAGAATGTTCTTTGGAGTCCACAGCCCTAGACTTCAAGCTTTGCCACCGTGGAGCGCAAGAGGAGGAGGGGAGTGTGAGTTCGGAATCACCCCGGGTGTCCCTGCAGGTGCGGCGGACGTGGGGTGGACGAAAGTGGTCTGAGGACGACTCTGGTGGTCGACTCCGCCTGCCGTGAGCGCTCCAGATGAGGCGCCCGGGGCAGGGCCCGTCCATCTGAGCCCCCAGAGCCTCCCTCAGCCCCAGCGTCGCCCAGTGCCCCAGAGGAGGAAAAGGAGAAAAACAGCCCCAAGCTCCTGGAATCGTGAAGAAGCCTGGGATGAGAGGGCCGGGCTGTGGGTTAAGGGGGGGTCCTGCCACCCTCGGTGACCTTTGTGTCCCCGCCCCCAGCACCCCGCAACCCTGTCAGAGACGGGTTCAGTGTCCCTGGCATCTCAGGGCTGGAGGAGGCAAAGCGAAGTCATGCACATTCACACACCAAACCTCACCCAGCCACCCACATGGCAGAGGAGGTCTGGAAAAGGTGGAGCCTGGGCCCCCGATGGGGACTGCCCCGTGTGCCACCCCGTCCACCCCAGGGCTGCACCTGCTGGCTTCTTCTACTTTGCCCTTCGCTCCTCGCACCCCCAGCTGGGAAGGGGAGCGGTGCAGCAGAAGACAGTCCAAAGGAGGTCAGGGTGGTGGAGGGCGGGCCTCCTGCTGAGCTGCCCTTGACTCACAGGCGGGGAGTGTAGGGGTGTGGGGGTGGGGTGGGGTGGAGGTGCAGTATGAGGATGAGACATAAGCCGCCAGAAGTCACAGCCTGATCTTAGACAGGCTGACTGAGCTGAGAGTTCTCTCTGACAACCATTTGGCTGGGGGTCTGTAGTATCCCCAACAACCCCCAACCAGGAAAGGATAATGACCCCATGCCACCAAGCCAGGGGAGAGATTGTCTGCGGGCAGACAGGCTTCCTGGTTCCACTCCCCCATCCTCCCCGTGCGTGCCCTTCTCCTTAGGGGCCCAGTCCTGCAGACTTCGCTTTCTTTCCAGCATGGAAAGCCAAGTGCAAAGACAAGCTCTTTATCAGCAATGGAACCCAGTGACATGGCTTGGGGTTCAAACTGGGAGCGTCAGGTACTGGTCCCTCTGGAGCCCCGAGGAAAAGCCAGCATCCCTTGAAAATGGCAGAAGCCACCAAAAGTCATCCTGCCCGTATCAGAACAACGTACTGAAACTGCGCTAACAAATCCAGAAAGACACATCACATAATAATTGGGAGGGAATGAAGTGAATTAATACAGGTGAGTGGAAAGTCTCTAGAACAGTACCTGGTGTGTACAGTAATTGCTCGAAAAGCGTTTGCTCTCACAGATAGATGGGAAACATGCAAAGACGGAGTGACGTGCTCAAAACATGGCAGAGAGGAAAGGAACACCCAAGTGTCCTGATTCCTGCCTCATTCGGGGCTCAGGTATGTTAAATCCTTTCTGGAATACAGATGAGGGTCTAAATAAATTAGTTTGGTGGCTAAATAGGTTTCACCAACTCTTAGGAAATCAGAGTAAACAGAAAAATTAGATTCCTGCCCTCCTACTTGCTATAGACAAAGATTGGATCCTCTTTATAAGTTCGCAAGCACAAGGCAGGAAACCAGATGAGTCTCTGCTCCCACCCGTGAGAACCCTTGCTACAATCAAGAAGCTCCATAAGAGGGAAACTTCTCTGCTCCATTAGTCACTCCTCCTCCTCTCTCCTGACACTTCCAGGTAAGCTCAAGGTGAGGAAATGTCAGCTTCTCCCAGCTGCCCACCAATATCCCAACCACCAACCTTCCTGGAATTTTGGTGGGCTCTTCCTATTCACATTTGGCACTCTGCATTGTAGGGGTTTAGAATTGTTACCCCCATATGCCACTTTGGCATACTGATTATTTTGAATAAAAGGTATTTGAGAAACAGCAATGCAAGAAGGACACTCTGAACCTCCTTTGTCCCCCTGACAGCAGGAGCTAAATCTTGCGTGTTAAAGGTACCCCTCCCTGTAAGGGGCAGGGGGTTGGGGTGGGGGCCTGGGGAGGGTAGAAGGCATCCTTATCATCAGGGACTGGGAATTTAGGGCCAAGAAGGCCATATAAATAAACCTTGTTACTTCCCCAAGCCCGAACCTCTCTGTCTTGTCAATCCTTCATACATTTATTGTTTCTTTGTCTAAAAAGTATAAAGCCCCCTGCTCCGGTGACATCTTTGAATCTTGTATTTTTGTGGGGCTCCCATCCTTTAGTAATTAAATACGTTTTTCTCCTGTTAACCCGTCTTTTTATCTTTGGGTGGGGGATTCTCAGCCAAGAATCTAGAAGGGTAGAGGGAAATTTATTCTTCCTGCCCTACAGCATTTTTAGGTGTGATCAGGTAAGATGCGGAGTAGAGTCGAGAACAAGAATGCTACAGTCAGTAAAAATAAGATGCAACTAACAAGAAAAAAAACCCAGCTAAATGTTTTTAGTTCTTTTAGGAAAAACAGGAGGACTCTGGAAAATAATCCTCCTCAAAGGGGAGAGATAGTTTCCATAGTTATTCACATAATCCCCCCATGGCTTTGTCCCCTTGATCTTTTTACTTTCCAGGCACACAGACGAGGGAGCCTAATTACAGGAATGTCTGGCCCCTGCTCTCCTGCCATCTTCACATATTTCCATTAATCTTCAAGACTCTCACCCCCCATTAATTCAAAATTGCCTCATCTGTAGTTAAAAAGTGAAGTTAATTAGACTCTGGAGCTTCTTTCTTTTTTCCTTTGGCCAATTCCCCAAGCTTAGACTAAGAGTCTGCCTTCATTGAGGCTTTCTGAGTTTGTGACCTGGGGTGGAGAGGGGTATACCAAAAGCACTCATGCTTGCAGGGACTCTCTCACAAAAGGCAGGAGCATGAGCCCTGGCGTTAGATCTGGATTTGGAGGAGTTTCTTCACTACTCCAGAGCTGTTTCCTCAGCTGTAAAAGCAGGTGCCCGCACACAGTGCCCAGCTCGGCTAGTGGAGGCAAATATCAATGGGACAGCCTCTGGAGGGGGGGTTTCTAGCCAGGAGCTCGCAGCAGAGCATCCGGGGACACGCTGCATTCTGCCACCATTTCCTGGAGTCTGAGGTCTCTCCAGTTCCAGAATGTGATCCTCGTGGGAGGACGCCCCGTCTTAGACTTCTTTATATCTTTTAGAGAAGGAAAGCTATTCCTTGCTTGTGAAGAAGATCAAGTGTGAATATGTACTGGGAGAAATTAGGGTAAGGGGGATAAATGGGACCAACAGGGCGTTCATTGTGTGAGTCACACATCAAGGCTCCTGAAAGATACCCTGGGGACTCAGGAAACTGATCTGCTGGCCGTTCCGTGTTGACTAAATGCGTTTGAGCCTAAAACTGCTTCTCACAACAAAGCTTCCAACTACTTCAGGGTATGAGGCTCAGTTTTTTAATGCATGATATATGTCCCTTTTAACAAGACCTGATCCTGCCCCTCAAGACAGTCTCATGGGCCATCTGGGAAAGAAGGTGTCTCCAGCAACTTCTGTGGGATGGTGTGTCCCCGTGCCGTGGTGGGAAGTATCAAACCCACCGGGATGGGTCCCGGGGACGGTTCTAGTCAACATCCTTCTTGACCACACAAATGAAAGGAAATCCCAAAGCTGACTCATCCATTTGATAGAAATGCACACAGAATTCACAAATACCTGGAAAATCATCTGTAAAAATTATTCTATGTGAAGTGAATAAATCAGGTGGTACCAAGGGCAATGTATATAGTTACAAGCTCCGTTCCCTAGTTACAAATACAAAGCGGGGAAAGGTGGAGGAGGCCTGAGCGGAGTCTGGAACCAGAGAACTCACAGCCAACCCAAGGCTCGTCCAGAGGCAGCCCAGTGGGCCCTTCATGAACAAGCTGGCTGGGAGCTCGCTATCATGAGGACCATTCTCCATATGAAACCATATCCAGTCCCTTGCCCCTCTTGGTATTCACACCTCTTTGCAGCCCCCACCACATGATAGCATGATTGCTCTGTGTGACCAAGAGAATCTGGCAGAGTGATGGCACGTCACCTTCAAAATTAGGTTCACAGAAACTGAGGGCTTT